GAGACGGGCCAGGCGTGGGCTCCTGTGGAAGGCCCCGAGAGCGCTGGTTCCTGGTGCAGCCCCCACACACCCGCTCCTACGGGGGGCTCAGGCCCCACACACCCGCTCCTACGGGAGGCTGCAGCCACTCCCGGGCCAAGGGACCGTGCCGCTCTGCTCTGAAGTACAGACGCGAGAGCAAGGCCTGACGACGGTATTCCAGACATAAGCCAGCAGACACCCCTGGCGCACGACGGTGCCGCCCTGCTGCGTGTGGGGCAGCGTCTCAGAGAATGGCCACGGCAGGGAGCAGCAGCCTCAGGAGCCACGGCGGGGCGCGGGGCTTCCTGTTGCAAGTCCTCGAGTCGGCTTTCAGCTCCGAGCGGCCCCAGGGGACAGGGCAGAACCGCCTGCAGGGTTTTCTAGGCTGTCACCCTGCCCAGCTGACGGCCGGGTCTTTGTCCTCTGGAGCCAAGGCGGGGTCTGAACTGCTGGTGTTTCGGTGAACGGCTGAGCTCTCACCACGACGCCACCCGGGCCCCTTCAGAGCAGGCACAGGCCACAGTGGCGCGTTTCCTCCGGGAAATGACCGGCGTGCTGGTTCCATTGTGTGGCAGCTGGGCTGGGCCTGGCTGAGTGGCTGGGCAGCTGGATGCAGTATCCCCGTGAGGAGACTGGCAGTCAGCTTCATGGTGGGATCTACCACAAGCAGCTGAGTAGCTGCCTCTGGGATGTGGTCTGCTTCCTGTGTAGAAGGAGAAGCCTTGGGGATGGTCTCTAGCCTGTGGCACGCTTGGACCCTGCATGTAGCCGTGTCATTGCTCAGCAGCCTGCCGTGCTCTGCCGACCTTGGGACTTACAATGGACTTAAGTGAATGGCTTGCCGTGTGGTTTGGTAACATCGGGACTGTGCCTTTTGACTTGTCAGCCTTGGGCTTGTCAGCCTCAGCAGCCAGCGGCTGTCTGAGTGAAGAAAGGCCTCTGGCTCCAGCTGTACCCCGACAAGCTGTGCTGCCTCATCCCTCAGACACGCGCCCACACACCCGCCGGCTTCGTAGACTGGCGCCCAGGGACTACGTACACGGCAGTCTCCTGGGAAACAGCAGGTGCCCTACAGGTGGATGGCTGGGCTTCCCACGTCAAAGCAAGAGCGTCTCACAGGTGAGGCCCTGTGCTCATCAGAGGCGGGACCAGGGCCAGAGCCCGCGGCTCCGGTCCCAGTCCTGCAGCC